CACTCATAATACATACACGCATACATACATACACGCATACATACATACACGCATACATACATACATACACACATATATATGTAGGGAGGGAGAGAGAGAGAGGGGGGGGAGAGAGAGGGGGGGAGGAGAGAGAGAGGGGGGGAGAGAGACGAGGAGAGAGAGGGGAGGAGGAGAGAGAGAAGAGAGAGAAAGAGAGAGAGAGGGGGGGGGAGAGAGAGAGAGAAGAGGAGGGGGGAGAGAGAGAGAGAGGGGGGGAGAGAGAAAGAGAGAGAGAGGGGGGAGGGAGAGAGAGAAAGAGAGAGAGAGGGGGGAGGGAGAGAGAGAAAGAGAGACAGGGGGGGAGGAGAGAGAAAAGAGAGACAGGAGGGAGGAAGAGAGAGAAAGAGAGAGACAGGGGGGAGGAAGAGAGAGAAAGAGAGAGACAGGGGGGAGGAAGAGAGAGAAAGAGAGAGACAGGGGGGAGGGAGAGAGAGAAAGAGAGAGACAGGGGGAGGGAGAGAGAGAAAGAGAGAGACAGGGGGGAGGGAGAGAGAGAAAGAGAGAGACAGGGGGGAGGGAGAGAGAGAAAGAGAGAGACAGGGGGGAGGGAGAGAGAGAAAGAGAGAGACAGGGGGGAGGGAGAGAGAGAAAAGGAGAGACAGGGGGGAGAGAGAGAGAAAGAGAGAGACAGGGGGGAGGGAGAGAAGAGAGAAAGAGAGAGAAGGGGGGAGGAGAGAGAGAAAGAGAGACAGGGGGAGGGAGAGAGAAAGAAGAGAGACAGGGGGGAGGGAGAGAGAAGAGAGAGAGACAGGGGGAGGGAGAGAGAGAAGAGAGGAGACAGGGGGGAGGGAGAGAGAGAAAGAGAAGAAGACAGGGGGAGGGAGAGAGAGAAAGAGNTTCTTCTATAAAGATGAGAAGTAGGTATTTTACCTCTTGGAGATCAGAATTAATTAAAATAGGAAGATTTTTGGTCCTTTTACTTTAGTTTCTCACATATTTTATCCCATCAAGGAAGATGAGTCTGATGTCCCTTTATAACAATCCTTTCAGTTCCCAGTATTTTCTACATGCTGTCTCAACAACTTACTTCTTGACATACTACACCCAGTTTTCCGATGATTGAAAGAATGTGTTGGTTATACTAGTTTATGTTGTATTGCTGATGAGCTGATTATTTCTTAATAGTATTTTGACAATGGTCGAAAAGTACCTTATAAAACCTGTATATATAGAGATAAATTCGGACAATGGTGACAATTGATTTGGAGATATTTCATTTGCTCTGTGTTTGTGTACATATATAAATATACATATATGTATTTTTGTTTTTTGTTTCAATGCATGTATGTGTAATGGTCATTGCTGTTATCATTTCACTCATTACAAAAGGAATTACAGCAGTATCTTAGAACAACTAAAGTATGTATCCTTTGCTGTGACTCATGTAGTTTCAACCAGAAAGGGCAATTCAGTATGACATTCCCTTCTGTACTAAGCAAACACAAGAAAACCCAGGTTTTTCTTTGTAATTCATGTTAATCTTGCACAATAAAATCATGAAATGTGTATTAAATTTTATAGCTTTTGCATATATTTATCCTGCATAGGATTACTCCTCCCCCTCTACAAAATTAAAAAAATAAATTATTAAACTATTCTGCATAGGATTTACTCCCCCCTCCTACAAAATTATCGAAATTTTTTAAATTCAATTTTCACTACCCATCTTTCTTCAGAATATAGATGGTGTGGGATATTCAAACACCATCAACTTTATAGCCAGACAGGAAAAGAAAAAAAAAAACATATCACGTAAAAATGTCTATTTTATACAACTGTACAAAATGGTATTTCATCCAGTCTACCACATTCAGTTGGGCAAACACTGTTTCCGCCAATAATCCTGTCAACTTGTAAATGGTCAAGAAAAACACTTTACAACAAAGTCAGATTCAGTGACATACTTTAGACCTAACATTTTGCTGTTTTAAGTCTGAGGTATGATAAAAAACAACCAATTCACGCACACCTAATAAAGCTTTACATTCGGTCAGTATCACAATACTGGAGTCAATAAAAATCCATATATTAATACTATAAACTTTTCTTTTTAAATTACCTCTGTTGCTCAGACTTAACACAGTAGCGTCAATTGTCTAAATTTTGCCCCGGGGAACCGCTCGGACAGAGATGTCGGTTCCATCAGTTGTGATTGGTGAAAGGCCTTTACATCAGGGGAACAAATTTCAGGTGCTTCACTTGAACAATATTTGAATTATGATATTTTTTTCTTCTGTTTGCATCCCTGGTTAAGAAGTCTATTTATAATAACTATATCTGCAATGCATTTGATATACAAGAACCTCCTGTGGCATGCACAAAACAGTAATCCTCATTCAAGAATGGATACAAATCTTCTGAAGTTCTCTTATCACAGTGATCATGAGGCTTGTCATCATGTTATTTGAACAAAACCACATTTATTGTTGGTCAGGCTAGTAAGATCCCAAGAGAAGGCATCTATAACATTTAAAATTTCTATATCTACACATAAGCTTTCAAACACATGAATGAAACCATATAAAACTGTGATATATAAAAACAAAATCATAATAGAAAGAAAAATGATACAAACATGAAAACAAAAACACATGTAGGTGATATAATATAGGCTGATAAGAAAATTGAATATATATAAAGTAAATTATAATCCTCAGCAAAACCTTCATCGGTTTGAAAATAAAATGAAAGCAAAAAACAAAAAATGAGAAGAATCACATGTGCAGGATGAGAATTTGACTTGCTGTACGAAGAAGAAAAAAAGTAGAAATGAATATCATAAAATGCTACTAGTAATAATAATGAAAATAACAAAAAATAATAATGATGATGAGTATAACAATAATAATAATAACAATGAACTTACATCCTGGAAATTATTCAAGGTCCTGTGTAGCAATCCTCGTTTGCTAATACTGAACTGTTCTAGGTCGGGCCCCTATGCATGCCACAAAATGCCACATCAGAGCCAACACAATAAAGCATCGCATAAAAGTTTTGGTAAAGGGGGGGATAGCATTTGTAAAGTTAATATTACATGTATAAGAAAAGAAAAAGAAGAAGAAGAAAAAAAATACAGTACAATAAATTAAGGTCGCTTGCATTAGGAGAAGCAGATGGATTGGTGAGGAGTCTCTTGGAGCAGGAGTACAAAAAGAGTTGCTGGCATTTAAGCTTGCTAACAAATGCCCAGCTTTAAGTCGGAAAACTTTTGCTGTACTTTAGTGTAATTGGCCTCAGGTTGTCTAATCTAAAGGTGGGTTGGTCATCATAAAAATAAATATAAGCTGATTAATAATAGCAATAATAAAGAGAACGATGATAATAATAATAACAAATAAGAAAATGATAACTAGTCATTAATAATAATAATGAAATGATAAAACACAAAATGTACCAATAATAAAAACTGGGAGAAGTAAAACACTAGAACCTGCAATAAAAACTAAGCAAAAATAGCAAAATTTGGTCGAAAAGAAAAAAAAAAGAAAAGAAAAAATAGCACACTCGGGTCAAGGTATTAGAAAGAAAATGCTCTATTTCTGCGTTTCCCTTTCCTTCTGAACACAAAATAAACTTTGAGAAGAACAACACAATGATGTAAGAGTTCTTGCAAAAAGGATGTAGCTGGCCATTCCACAATGAACAAATTCCTTGGGTGTCTTTGCCCAACAGCCGAGGGTGGCGATTTTGGCTCAGAAATTAGGATTTGTTGATGACAGAGGGCATGAGGAGAGGTAGGGGTGGCTTGTGTGGAATATTGTGTTGCAATGTGGTCATTGCTTCTTTTCATGTGACACGCAAATGGTGGAGTTATGCACTATGTCAATGATGCCGTTTGTTGACACATTTTAGTATGTAGGATATTTTGACAAAGACTATATTTTCTTCTCTCTCTCTTTCCTCTCTCTCTCTCTCTCTCTTTTATTTGTTTGTTTGTCTGTTATTGTCATAGTTTCAATAACTTGTAAAAGAAAACAGGAGATGTGATGAACAGCCGTCCTCAAGTGCAAAATCCGATCCTCAGAGTGCAAGGAATAGAATGGCTAATCAATGAAGGCACTTTGTGTGCTTGCAACCACAAAAAGAAATAATAAAACAAAAGGGTACAGTAAAGAAAAGAAAAGAAAAAAAATCTTAGAAATTAATCTAAATGAAAAAGCCTCTGATATGAATTAGCACAAATTATTGTTTAATATGGCAATCTTTGCATATTTGTATTAAAAAAACAGTAAAGAGGACTACAACATACTATTGATGATGCTCATGCTGTAGAAAACAAGGTCTTGTTTCAACATATTCACATACATATGTCTTGGCACTAAAACAGCACACTTAATGAACGGGAACAAATTTTCCCATTCATTACCTTCACCTCCTGACTTTTAAAGCCTTTGGATTAAGAACATCTGAGATCACAAAAAATTCCCTAACAATGTCAACAACTTGCAAAGAGAAATAATAATAATAATAATAATAATAATTATAATAATAATAATAATAATAATAATTATAATAATATTCTACCGGTATACGGGTGGCTACAGGAGATGCACGTTGTGGGGCTGTGGGTTAAAAGGAGAGAGGAGACAACGTGCATCCCTTGAGCCCCAGTGATAACTAGACTATCCAACAGTTCATAACACTGACATTCCTAAGCTACAGAGGATTGGAAAAAAATTGAAGAGTGAAGCGATATGTGTAGAACAATCGTTAGAAGCTGCTTTTTTCGGCAGTAACAGCCTTCAATGATAGTTTGTACAAAGTGGAGAGAAACAGTGTATCATATAATACAATGATGAAGTTGTGAAAGACACTGTCACAATCATGCCTCACCATAGACTTGCAAACAGATTTCATTTTCTCTGAGTATAAATTACAAAAATATTTAATCACTTTGTTCACATTTGGATAGTCACAATATGCATTGCGTGATTCAATAATGCATGTGTTTTTTTTTG